GTCAGGAAACCAGGGTTTGTGCAGCAGGGAACCTAGATGTACAGTGTAGGGTTTGTGCTACTGGGAACCCATATATACGAAGTCGGGGTAGTGCGGCAGGGAACCAGGGTTTATGCAGCAGGGAACCTAGATTTACGTAGTAGAGTTGTGCGGCAGGGAACCTATATATACAGAGTAGGGTTTGTGATGCAGGGAACTTATATATATACAGAGTAGGGTTTGTGCAGCAGGAAACCTATACATATACAGAGTATGGTTTGTGTATCACAGAACCTAGATATACGGAGTAGGGTTTGTGTGGCACAGAACCTAGATATACAGAGTAGGGTTTGTATGGCAGGGAACCCAGATATACGGAGTAGGGTTTGTGTGACAGGGAACCTAGATATATGGAGTAAGATTGTATGGCTGGGAACCCAGATATACGGAGTAGGGTTTTTGCGGTAGGGAACCAATACATACGGAGTAGGGTTTGTACGACTGGGAACCCAGATATACGGAGTAGGGTTTTTGCGGCAGGGAACCTAGATATACGGAGTAAGGTTTGAGAATCTCTCCATGAATGTTGGAGGATAGAGGAGACTCAGTATCTCACCTGCAGGCTCTAGGGTTGGGAGAAACTAGTCTCTCAGCCAAGATGAATATTTACAGGTTTACACAGTTTTCCAGCACTCTTAACAACAGGAATTTCTTCGTGTTTTTAAATTAAAAACATAAAAAAGAAGATGTGTTATAGTTTTTAATAGATATTTCTGTACCAACAGTATATATTTATTTATTTATTGTATTTGATTAAAGTATTTGTCAAAATAGCTTTTGTCTTTGATACATTACTTTGTTTTAAATGCTTACTTTTCTGTATTCTTTCTTGTAGAGAAAAAAATATAATTCTAAGTTAGAAACCGATCGAACTGTGGAAAAAATAGGCGGAAAAGATAAAACTTAGCCAAAATAAGCATTAAATAAATATTTATCAACAATTGTACCAATAGAAAACTGTTTACTCGTTTCCTACTCTAAGATTCTATACCTTTTTTTAAAATCGTAAACCTTTTATTTGAAATATGATATTTCAAACTTATATTATTTGATCTGACAGACATGAAATATTTTAGGTTTACTTCATTTGGTTGCAAAGATACATAAATCCAAGAATGTAAGGCAAGGAAAGTCAATTGCGGTTGTGTATACTCTGTGTACATATTGAAACCAGTTCTCTCTGGGCGGAATTTGTAAACAATAATGGATGCATCAGTGTTCGTTTAGTATCCGAGGAGGTTAAAAGCATTAAATTTTGATAATTTTGATAATTCACATAATAGTTTCCTATGACCAAAATATTTCATTGATTTTTATGTGAATGATGGATCCCATGTCAGGCTTCGACATCCGTCTTGTGTTTACATTAGCGCCCAGAGACAGTACACTGCAGTACTAAAGATGTGTACACTTCTGAAATGACTTTCCTTGCCTTACATCCTTGCATGAATCAGAAAATCAGAGTTTGTACTGTAATGCTGAAATTTAAACTCTATAATATTATTTTGCTGTTAACGTCGACACAATAATAACATAGTAATTTCTGTCCAATCATTAGATGTTTTTCTTCAGATTTTTAGCTTTTTAGGAAGAAGTAATTGTAAAAATGATAGATATAATATTAATGAGTGATATTCTTATCTGTATAAGGTTCATTTATTATTATCTAGAAGAACTATTACTTTGTTTGTTTTTTCATAGTGAGATGGAAACGTAAGGTTGTTATGGGTTTGCTTTGGGTCACAATAAGATATCTTATAGGTCCTTTTTAACTTACAAAAAATGGGGAATTTTTCTATCCATAATATAACAAATATTTTAAACTTAAAAACCAAGTTTTGGAAAATAATATGACAAAGACAAATATAAGACCTGAAAGAGAATTTATAAGATGATTGACAGGTATAGATTGAATACAAAAATTCTTTTTCTCACTAAATCAGCTTGTTTTTACATATAGGCCGGTATATCGCCGTACTTGTAAAAAAACCCTTCATTTAAAGAGGGACATGACTCACAATGGTACCCTAGAAACCCTAATCTGAGCCGGCGATTTAAAAAATTCAAGAAAATACAACTCAGGTCTGTCGTTGGGCCTTATTTACGGCTTGAGCTTTCGGATTTAAGTTTCATCTAATTTTCCACGGAGTTGAGTTCATAAAACCGGTTTAATATTGTACTTGCCGGATTTTCATGGGTTGAATTGGCCGGCGCATTCCGGGTTTTGATGATCTCGCACTTGTCAATCACGTGACACAAGCTGTCGTCAGAGTTGGGTTTAAGATTTAAAAGCCTCTACCCGAGCCGTAATTCCTTTAACCCAACGTTAAAGGAATTACGGCTCGGGTAGAGGTTTTTAAATCGTGGGCTCTGATCAATAATGTGGAAGATATTGTTGTTTTTCTGGCNGTTTTTTTATAATTTATCTTATTTCATCAAAAGCAATTTTGGAATATCTTAATTTGCTTATAAATCAATTCAAACCATTATACATAAAACCCCATTTTCCATTTTTATATTTCGTACACTTTGATAAATCAAGATTTATGAGTTTTTTTGCTTTATACACAAACACTTCTGCATTTTGTCAATGAAAAATAATCTAGTTTACTTAAATTTCATAATCTATATTGTCCCAAATTATATATTTGTCACTGTAAAATAATGTTTATGGTCTTATAGTAGAAAAATGTGTTAAACGTTTGATAAGCCATGATCATTCGGTTCTTGATTTTAACACTTTGAAATTCTATCAAGTGTTATGAGATTCTATCAAAATTTTCTAGAAGTTTAAAAAAGTTTTATGAGATTTAATGAAAGTTTTATGATTCCCTAAAATATTATAATTCTTTAAATGTTATCAGAGTTTTCGATCAGTAGAACTTCGGCTAGAGACTGGAACTTTTGTGTGGAGTAGCGTTCATTCTAAACACCTGATCTCGATATCCGATATCAGCACTTTCAAAATTTTTGGATCAATGCTTAATCTCACATATAAGTCTGAAAAAGATGAAGATCGTTGCTTGATCCTCAAACTCACAAAATATTTTGAATTCAGTTTGAATTCAGTTTGAATAGATAGAAGCAGGGCTGGGAACTATCACACTTTTGTCAAGCCGTTCGATAATGGTTATTTAAGATTGTTTAAACAACAACTTTTCTGGTAGTCGTTTGTGCTTTTGTTTTAGAACTGAACGTTTTGATAGCTGAATTTTCAGTCTTCCTTAAAGCTCCCGTTTGTTAACGATCATAGTTTTGTTCACCAGCTGGCAAATAATTATGGATTATTAAAAAGAGTTATTTTATTGTGGTTTTACATAAACCATAATATGCTGGCATTGTAAGTATAATTCTTATTTTATACAAGATTTATCTATATGTAAATACTAAATAGATACAGGACCAAAATAGATACAAACAAAAACCATCAGAATAAATCCAAACGTTGGGTTCAACCGATCTAATTAACCAATCTAATAGATCTGATTGACCAATCTAAATGACCTATCTGATTGATCAATCTAATAGAACAAACTGATTGACCTATCTGATTGAGCAATCTAATAGAACAATCTGATTGACCTATCTGATTGACCAATCTAATAGAACGATCTGATTGACCCATCTAATTGACCAATCTAATAAAATGATCTGATTGACCTATCTGATTGACCAATCTAATAAAATGATCTGATTGACCTATCTGATTGACCAATCTAATAAAATGATCTGATTGACCTATCAGATTGACCAATCTAATAAAATGATCTGATTGACCTATCTGATTGACCAATCTAATAAAATGATCTGATTGACCTATCTGATGGACCAATCTAATAAAATGATCTGATTGACCTATCTGATTGACCAATCTAATAAAATGATCTGATTGACCTATCTGATTGACCAATCTAATAAAATGATCTGATTGACCAATCTAATAAAATGATCTGATTGACCTATCTGATTGACAATAAATAGTTTGATCTTTGAATTATCTGATAAAATTTGGGCTTAATTAAGTTCTCTAATTAGAAAGTACATTTTAGCACAGCAGTCGGAAGACCAATTTAAAGTGACTGTTAATTTAAAACGAAAGGGGGTATACAGCCTATTCCCCTTTTTCATTTTAACTTAACAGTCCCTTTAAGTAGGAGAGTGTAAGCCCTGACTCTAATAAAATATGCTTTGGTAAAATAATATTTTCATGAAAAGAGGAGTGTAAAGAGAATTACACTTTTCTGGTGTCAAATTCACTCTAACTACTCAAATCTTGTTAATGATAATATTTAAAAACCCTCATATTGCTTTGACAGAAATATTCATGGGCAGCCGTGGTACATTTGAATTTCCGAGCCGGGTCAACCTTTCCTGTGCAACAAGGTTAACGCGGTCAGATTTTAGGTTGAATTTACTTTTACTAAAGGGTCAGGGGTGCGTTTACGTATTGGATAGGAAAGGTATGTAATATATGCTTTAATATTTGCAAAAAAAAATTTGACCATTTTATTTTTTTTACTGAAATTCTTAAATTTGAAAATGGATGTTCAAACTTTTGGACAAATTAAAACTTTGCATGGAAAAAAATGTAATTAAATTCAGAATGGCCTGAGTTTGAGTAACCAAAAAAATTTGGTCTAATCTGCCCATAGTCAATTTGGCGTTTATTGGATACAAACAAAAACAATAAAGACAAATATATGTGGATTTTTTTTCCACCATATTCAAAACGGAATTCATATGCACTAAAAACATCCTAATTCCAATATATTAAATTTTAAAATTTTTCTTTAATCTTTTTTAATTTCTAAAAAGTTTTTTGAAAAAAAGCTAAAAAATTTTATTTTGTAAAATTGAAAAGAACCATGATGAACACTTCAATCAACTCTCTTTGAAATCTTTCATTCCCATCTTATGTTGCAAGAAATCCAAATCCTTTTGTTGACTTTCCCTAGAACTAGATTTAATACTTTTCTTTCAGAAAGAATGCTAGAGCAGATTGTTCAACATAGGATTGAGTGGAAGAGGAAACCTTAATTTCAGGCAGTCAGGATAAAAACATTTATAAACATCTTTTCTATTATTTGAAAAGATTTCCAGACCCCATACATTCCTTTTTCTTGTAATCAGTTCAGCTGATATTCTAGGTATAGCTTAGCTGGTAGTTTAACTAATTTAGCTGGTATTTTAGTTCATTTTGCTGGTACTCTAGCTAATTAAGCTGGTGCTCTAGCTAATTTAGCTTGTGCTCTAGGTAATTTAGCTGGTTCTCTAGCTAATTTAGCTGGTTCTCTAGCTAATTTAGCTGGTTCTCTTGCAAATTTAGCTGGTTCTCTTGCAAATTTAGCTGGTTCTCTAGCTAATTTAGCTGGTGTTCTAGCTAATTTAGCTGGTTCTCTAGCTAATTTAGCTGTCACTCTAATTAAATTAGCTTGTACTCTAGCTAATTTAGCTGGTTCTCAAGCTAATTTAGCTGGTTCTCTAACTAATTTAGCTGGTTCTCTAGCTAATTTAGCTGGTGATCTAGCTAATTTAGCTGGTGCTCTAGCTAATTTAGCTGGTACTCTAACTAAATTAGCTTGTACTCTAGCTAATTTAGCTGGTATTCTGGATAATTTATGTGAATTATCCCCGTCTAGAAAAAATATAATTTGAATAACTAACGGATCTTATTTTTATTGAACATTTCAGAGAAAAATATGTTAGGACTTGTTATTATAAATTCAATATAAATTAATTTAAAACTTTAGCACCGATTTTTTCCTAAAGTTTTTGGAGCTAAAATCCCAGATTTGTAGGAATCATGGAGATATAAAAACATTCAGAGCTGAAAAGAGACATATTATTTGTGTAAAGATTAACCTTCTCTTTTACTTGTTTACATCACTTATATCCCTAGAAAATAGCATTAAATGTATAATTTTCGTTGATCGTTGATCTTTGTTTGAAAAAAACCCGGAAATTTAAATTTAAATTTAACTTTCATCCCCCCCCTCTCTCTTCTTTAAGCATGGGTGATCAAAGTGGTTGCTAGAAAGGCAGGTGGGTTTCTTTAAGTCCTTTTCATCAAACACCTTTCTTCAATCCAAACTTGCAAACTCTCGCATTTCCTATTTCAACTTTAATAAGTTTTACAAAGTTTGTGAAAACTAGCATAAGAAGAACAAGAAGTCAGATCAATAATAAAACTTGAAAATATAATATTTCTTTAAAAGTAAGAAGTGTTCATATTCAATGAACATCATACACTGAAATTATTTTATAATCTTGGTCTTGACACTAGCATGATATCAACATAAGAAGCTGACATTTTTACGGGGATGACTTTGAGGCTTTGTGAGTTTCATTTGCAGTCAAATATTTGGACTTTTTTAGTTATGTATTTGGTTTTAAAACTTATTTTTTCATATTTGTTCAGTAAAAAAAAGCTGTAATTGAAAATGTTCAAACTAAAAAGAATTTTATCTAGAGTGTTGGTAAACCTTTATTCCAAGGGGGCTGAGGGGTTATTATTAAAAAAATAGAGATCGAACCTAATGATTTTTAAGAGAGGTATGCTTGAATTATATAATATCTGTTGTTTTTTCATTCTGTTCAGTTTTTTTAGGGTTTTCTATGAATGGATCTTTTTTATTCTATCATAATCAATTTAATCCTAAAGCATATGTTGACTGTATAGAAAGCAAATCTTTATTTGCTTAAATAAAGACTAAAACGTTAGGAATGTGAATGCAGAAGTATAGTATATATATATATATACTATATATATAAATATCCGATATTCCTGCTTATACAACAAGTATTGGAAGATAACTGAGCTAATAAAGAAAATAATAACGGAATATCTAGTCTTTTTGTGCCCAGCAAATCACTGCTTTTATTCAAATCAACAGAGAAAATAAAGGATTTTATACATAACAGGGTGTCCCAATAAACATGGAAATAAAGCGACGACTTTTATATCGTTTCATATGGCATCATTACGTCATCACAATTTAGTAGTATCCCAGTAAAACAAAACAAAATCTTAATCTATTTTTCTCTGGAATTTCAAAATGCTGTTTACCATTTCTTCACCATTTAATTGAAGAATATATCAAGAATATAAGAATAAGACTAACAAAAATTATTCTAATGTTTGATGTCTCCGTCAATTTTAAAGATACAAAAAAGGCAGACAAAATTTTAAAATCTCATAAATATACAATCTATTTATTCAAAACACTTGGTGTCTCTTGTTTATCAACTATAAGATATTGAAGACGATTATCCATGTCTATTGGGACAGGGTGAACATTTTTCATACCCCCCGTAAAACATTAACTTGTTTTCACATTAGGAAAGATGTTTCTGCATGTGAATCAAATTGATAGATAATTCTTTATCATGCAAGTTTATTAAAAAGAGTAAAATTTATCCAGGACCAAGAAATGTTATTACGCAATTCTGATTTACGATTTCTGGCCAATAGGACGGAGTTACAGAGGGACGAAGTGAACCTTGATCTACTTCTACCAAAGAGAATAGAATATATATTAGAGTGGAATTTAAAAATCCCTCGGTCCCTTTCAGCCTGAAAGGGAGTTCAAAGTGTACAAATCATGTAAATGTTCACAAATTATATGCAGTAGAGTACATTAATACAGTATGTTCCCTAGACTATCCATTTCAATTTTGAATTTTTTAAAGCTGTTAAATAAACTTTTATAATGAATTAGGTGAATAAAAAGCATCATTTGATTTATAGTTATAACGGAAAATCATCGTTTTAAAGTGAAAGGCATAGAGTCTATGTGAAATGATCATTGATCAATTATAAAACCAGTCTATTTCATAATTTGGTTTTCTTTTAATATTAATTTTAGATTTTCTATAAAATGATGTTACAGGGCCCAAAAGGTTATATAACATAAATATGTGAAGTACACCTGCAGTATGGAAACAGTACACCAAAATGGACGTTTTACACTTTTTTCTAGTAAATTCCACTCTAATTCTCTTTGACTTCTATTATACAAAATCTAACTCTAACAGTGTGTTCAAAACATCGAATCGTTTTAGATAGGTTGATCACGGCATGATAAGATTTTGTTGTTCATATGCATCATCTAAATTCTTTAAAATGTTTTTCTTGATGTAAGTGGTATGCTGCATCAGCTGTACACCGGGGTGTTTGTTGTTGTTTACATCTTGACGGTTTGTTTACCTTTTGCCCAGCCATGTCGACCTTTTGACATACGGAAAATAGTTGAACGTAAGTACTTTGTTTTCATGTTTATGCTTCTCAAGCTAATTTTTTAAAGATTTATCCATTTGTGCAGAAATATTTAATTTTTTTATATTTAAACCTATTTAACTTTTTTGAAAAAAATGTTGTTATTTTATTGCAAAATGATATTGGATTTTAATGTTTACAAATTTTAACCCTATATAGACTGGGGGTCTGAATCTTTTTCTAGCCATCATCTGTACCTGCTGCAATTTAATGAAACTGTTTTTGTTTCTTTTATTTTTAAGACTACTCCGAATAATTGTATATAAAATATTAGAATCTAATTGTTTAGCAAAAACCTGCACTGGTCCCCCGGGCATTGAAGGAACCCACATGACAAATCTAACATTATCTCCAGGAAAAGAGGTAAACGAAATAATTACTCATAGCTGAGACTTTCGATCCCAACTTAACGTACATAAAGATAAACAGGGTGTCCCATATCATATTAGATCGTCAATGGATCTAAATTACAATTTCCGGGACTAGTCAGAAAATTTAGGAAGAATAAATCATTTTGAAAAATTGAATGAGGCTAAAATATTAATTTTCTTGCAGGAAAACGCTATGTTTTTCGAATATTATATTTATTTTTGCGTTAAAGCTTGGAGATAATCTAATATGATATGGGACGCTCTGTACATTTTATTACTTTTTTCTCTAGCTTTCGGCATATGTGTTTGACATGTATAAAATGTAAAAGTCCGTAAGTTTAAAAATTGTTTAATTATAAACCAAAACACGTTTAAATTCTAGTAGACGATAATCTCTAATTTAGTTTTTAAGAGATTCAAAATGATTCCCTTTGAACCTTTGAGCGTAATAGAAAAATATACTTTGTTTTCTATCAAAAATTTAATAATTTTTTTATGACTTTACTGTAAAATTGACTCGCGGATTTTATGCAACACAAACGTAAAAAAGTAATTTACAGAATTCAACAGTTTTTAAGATTAAAAAATGGCGATATCATCGCCTCTCCCCTCTCCCCGAGTATAATACATGGACTAATTTCCCTTCTTGTCTACTGTGGTAGTTTTTTGTCCCCAGAAGATTGGATTTAGCAACGATATAGAGAAACTAATTTACATGGTTCCGGTCTCAACAATAGTCTTAATATACCTTCTATATATACTAACTAGTATGAGAACCCAGCGTTGCCCATTCATAATAACTCCCGCCGTTTACCCGCAATTTGTCTTAAATTAAGATTTTAGCTATTTTTCCCTGTAAAAGTCAAATATCGAAACCAAACCAAGAACAATCCCATGTTTGTCCCGAATTACTCAATTCAAATTTGAGGCAAGACAATCAAATAGTTCATGAGTTATGAATTTATAATCGGACATATAAACCAATAAACAAACAAACAGCAAACTCTTTATTCGATAAAAAAATTTCCCTTGCCACCCTGCAAATCCAAAAGTATTAATTTCACAAAACAAAACCTAAACCTTTTTTTCTTTGATCCATTCAAACATATTACAAAGTAAACGTAAAAGTCAGACCATCTGAGTTTGTTTATTTCATATTCTCCATACCTTTCATATCCTCCAAACCTTTCATATTTTCTCAACCTTTCATATCCTCCCAAACTTTCATATCCTCCCAACTTTTCATATCCTCCCAAACTTTCATATCCTCCAAAATTTTCATATCCTCCCAAACTTTCATAACCTCCCAACCTTTTATACTCTCCCAAACTTTCATATCCTCCCAACCTTTCATATCCTCGCAACCTTTCATATCCTCCCAACCTTTCAAATCCTTCCAAATTTTCATATCCTCTCAACCATTCATATCCTCCCAACCTTTCATATCCTCCCAACCTTTCATCTCTCAACCTTTCACAGCTTATATATTTTGTATACATTTTGTTCGGATGCTCTGACATGAAAAATTTGATATTTTATAGAAAATGTAATCTCAATTTTAAAATTGATGTGTCCAATTTTAGTTAAAATCTTGACAAAATATAAAATTTTTCAAATACTCTTGAGGTTAAAGGAAGTATGTCGTTACATCTAAAACAAGGATAAGTTGCTCTTTAAATCTGTAATAAATAGTCACAAAAACTAATGATTTAAAAATCATAAGTAAAAAAGTTTTTCCGAAGGTCAGTAAACCTATTAATCATATGATGGGAAAACTACATTTCAGCTATCAAGTGTATTTATAATGTTTTTTTTTTCTAAAGCAACCAGACCATGCAGTAGCTTGAAAAATCAACTTATTAGGTGACATTGGTTTTTACTGTAGGCATAACTACTCATGTGCTTCAACCTCAGTGGAGTTTTTATTTTAAATTTTGAGTATAACAGTCGTCGTCCTATTTTGCAGTATTATGGGTCTGACTGTATCAACACCGAATTAAGAATTGTGTTTATAAACCTACAATTTTTTTTTTATTTTTACAGCAGAAAACTATTTTTCTTAAAAAAGCTTTCATAAAATTATTTCTTTTCTCTAAATCATAAATAGGATTGCTTTGTTCAATAATTCATCTTATGCAAGAATGTAATGCAAGGAAATTTTACATTACCGCCCAGAGACAGTACACTACAGTGCAAAAGATGTGTACACTTCTGAAATAACTTTCCTTGCATTACATCCTTGATCTAATGTATTTGTAGTTGAAATTTCAAGAAACTCTGAATTAATCGAATAATTAGAAGGGGTTCCCATTAATCCTATATCTAAGCAAATATTTTGTTTATTGTTCTTTCTCCCAGTTAGATATTGCATACACCATCAAGTCACTTTATAGAAAACACACTTTAAAAGAGATGAATTTCAAATAAAAAAGGAAATATTTTTTCCTTAATAGGGTCCCATCCCATCGTACATCGGACATGCAATACTTTAAACGTAAGATTTGTTAAATATTTAGGCCAAGTTTGTTTAATATTTAGGCCAAGTTTGTTTGATATTTAGGCCAAGCTTGTTTAATATTTAGGCCAAGTTTGTTTAATATTTAGGCCAATTTTTTTTAATATTTAGGCCAAGTTTGTTTGATATTTAGGCAAAGTTTGATTAATATTTAGGCAAAGTTGTTTTGATATTTAGGCCAAGTTTGTTTAATATTTAGACTAAGTTTGTTTGATATAGGCCAAGTTTGTTTAATATTTAGGCCAAGTTTAATTAATATTTAGGCCAAGTTGTTTTAAAATTTAGGCCTAGTTTGTTTAATATTTAGGCTAAGTTTGTTTGATATTTAGGCCAAGTTTGTTTAATATTTAGGCCAAGTTTGTTTGACATTTAGGCCAAGTTTGTCTAATATTTAGGCCAAGTTTGTTTGACATTTAGGCCAAGTTCGTTTGATATTTAGGCTAAGTTTGTTAGATATTTAAGCTAAGTTTGTTTGATATTAAGGCCAAGTTTGTTTGATATTTAGGCCAAGTTTGTTTAATATTTAGGCCAAGTTTGTTTGATATTTAGGCCAAGTTTGTTTGATATTTAGGCCAAGATTTTTTAAGGTTCAATATTTAGGCCAAGTTTGTTTGATATTTTGGCCAAGTTTGTTTGATATTTAGGCCAAGTTTGGTTGATATTTAGGCCAAGTTTTTTTTTAATATTTAGGCCAAGTCTGTTTAATATTTAGGCCAAGTTTGTTTGATATTTAGGCCAAGTTGTTTGATATTTAGGCCAAGTTTGTATGCCTGATTGATCACAGTTGTTTGGTCTCAGTGATAAAATGGTATCACATCACACCAGACAACTCCTCCATCAGACTTATCAAGGTTCGTAACAAATAACTTTAAAATGATATCATGACAAATTAAATTTAAATATATCAATTAGTCTGTCGAGTATCTAACTACTGAAAGACTTCTGAATTATTAATAATTTTCTCGAAATTATAGAGAATGTTATAGCTATCATAAATAATGTTAGAGATATCAAAAACAATGTTGGGATATCTCAAACAATGTTAGGATATCTCAAACAATGTTAGGATATCTCAAACAATGTTGGATATCTCAAACAATTGTTTGGATATCTTAAAATGTTAGGATATCTCAAACAATGATAGGATATCTCAAACAATTGTTTAGAAATCTCAAACCATGTTATGATATCTCAAACAATGTTAGGATATCTCAAACAATGATAGGATATCTCAAACAATGTTAGGATATCTCAAACAATGTTAGGATATCTCAAACAATTGTTTGGATATCTTAAAGTGATATGATATCTTAAACAATGTTAGGATATCTCAAACAATGATAGGATATCTCAAACAATGTTAGGATATCTCAAACAATGATAGGATATCTCAAACAATTGTTTGGATATCTTAAAATGTTAGGATATCTCAAACAATGATAGGATATCTCAAACAATTGTTTAGAAATCTCAAACCATGTTATGATATCTCAAACAATGTTAGGATATCTCAAACAATGATAGGATATCTCAAACAATTGTTTAGAAATCTCAAACAATGTTAGGATTTCTCAAACAATTGTTTGGATATCTAAACAATGTTGGGAGATCTCAAAAAATGTTCTTAATATTAAAGTGGTTTCGTTGATATCGATAATTTGAACTAAATGTTTTTACTAATGTTTTAAAATGTTTCTAAGAACTTGTATTTTGTTTTTTGTTGAAATGAATATTCTTGTGTCAAAAAATGAAAATAAAATACCAAAATAAAAAATGTGCCCTTTGGGTGCAAAGTATAGATTTATGCCTCGAGTTAACCCAGGTCGTTTTCAGCCAAATATCGATTGATTTAAAAATGCCACGGGCAACGTCGGACAATTTCTGCAAAAATAACAATTCGAAGCAATACATATAGTCTGTGAAACTGATGAAATTTCATAATATTTTTGTTTTCCAATTTCTAAAATGTCAATCTTATGCCAACTACGTTAAAAGAATAAATACTTGTTGTCAAGATGTTTCATGTTTTTTCGTAAATTGTTAATAAAGGAATTGATTATTCTCCTCAGACTCTAAATTTCTCTTAGCTACCTGGACTGATTGTAATATCAATTTACTGAATCTATTTCGATATTTAAAAGTTTGTTAGAAATCTAACCAAAAAGTTCTACATAGGGCTGGGCACGTTTTAACTTTTTCTAGCTTTTTCGTTTACAGTTAAAATCAAACCGTTAAAAACTAAAAATTTCAGTTAGCCGTTAATTTTACAGGTAAAAACGGAACGTTCATTCCGTTAACAGCATTTTCTGAGGTTTTTAAACTACCGTTAGTTAACAATCTCAATTTTATTAATCGCGTTAATAGAACATTTTCAACAATTGTTAACGGCTTTAGCCGTTAATGGTACCGTTATTAGAAAATTAACGGCGCAATGCGCTGAAAATTTTTTGTTTGAAAAATCTTTATCGGCAGCCGTTAACGGTGTATTACGGAATTAAAGTTACAGTGTTCAAGTTTAAAAGATCACAAGTTTATGAAGTAATGATAAGGGGTGTTAATTGCTTTGGTTCGTATATTTCAATATAGCTTCCATCATTTTAAAATTGTAATCATTTATAGTTTGCCTTGATTATTTTTTTATTATCTTTAAATCTTTTTAAATTTTTCTCAATATTGAAATTTGTGAAACTTCTCAGATTTTGTGGAACCCTTTAAACCTCCAAACAATTCTCAAACAACCTAAAATAAACCTATATCTACGCCAACCTGTTGTTAGGATAAGGATGAGAATATTAGATTTTGGCAGGATTAATTGGGTTCTTTGTAAACAATACAAACAGTGAATATATGAAGAATGCAGGGTTTAAGAATATTAAAAGAACAGAATTCAAAATATTTCATATTGTAAAGTTTCATTTGAAGTATTTCATACAAAAATTTTTTCCATTTTTATATTGTTTACGTTGTAACATCATGATTTTTGTTAAAATCATAAGCAGCTTTTTTAAGCGACCTTAAACTTTTAAAGTACCAAGTTTATGAACTACCTTCGTATGGTCTCCTCTGTATTTGTCGTGAAAGATATGAATGATATATGAATAATATTTCACTTTTAATCATGTTTGACCTATTTTATTCGAGCTTTAAATCATGATAAAAATCTTGTTATTGACCTTTCAAGTTGTAAAAACCCTATTTTACTTGACCCTAAAGGGAGGGTTTGCGAAAAATAAAAGGGGGTATAGGCTGATATCGAATTTTCTCTCCTTATAGATAAAATTAGTAGCGATCGATATCGACTTTAATTGGACATCATCATATATATCATTTTTTGCGAAAAATCCCTTTAAAGTTTAATATAGACCCCTGAATATTACCTTGAAGTCTTCAGGGACGTATTTGACCTTGAAGACGTAAATGACCTCATGTGTTTAAATGACCTCCGTTTAGACCGCTAAGTCACCTGGTGATCCTCATGTTCATAGAATAGAGAAAGTTACTATAGAAGATGAAGGCACATACAGGTATAACCTTGTCATGAATACAGAAGATAACCCGCTGAATAAATTTCGCGGAATATGCCAAATTATAAAATTTTAAAATTTTTACAAAAATCAACAGAGAGCAAATTGTCTTTCATTAATTTAAATAGCTCAAATGTTTAAAATATTTAAGTCTAAAATTTTTATATTTCATATTGTTTTTTGTCAGTTGTGTGGCAGAGAATGTAATTGGGAAGACAGAAGTGTTGGCTTATTTAACTATAAACCCAGCCAGCATTTGTAAACCAAACTTATTCCAGCTGATCATACTAGGCATTGTTTCAGCATTTGCAAACCAAACCTAGTTCAGCTGATTCTACTGATCATTGTTTCAGCATTTACAAACTAAACCTAGCTCAGCTGATCCTACTAGGCAATGTTTGCACAGCTTTTGTAAACCAGCTCAGCTGATCCTGCTAGGCAAATTGTTTCAGCATTTGAAAACCAAACTGAGCTCAGCTGATCCTACTAGGTATTGTTTCAGCATTTGAAAGCCAAACTAAATCTTGCATTGTGTTGATGGTCAAACAGAACTATAAAAATCATAGATTTTTACCCAGCTTTGTTTAGAACAAAGTCATATAAACTGGCTCTAGATTTGAAAGGGCGGAAGACGCAAACTCATGTCATCATCATTTCTTATGTGGCATGTCACATTCACAACACAACTTTGTATGAATAAGAATGATGCAGATATCCTTATTTTTATGGCTGATAATTGAGTGCTATCTTCTTCATATTTGATCAAACCAAGGTGTAAAGGGTACGGTTGTGAATCGGACATACCACACGTTTTTAATCCAAAGACAGTTCTAAAAAAAAATTCGAAATCCCTAAAAAAGCCTGACATATCTAGTCTTGAAAAGAAATGGTTTTGAACATGACAAAGGGCTTTTATCACATTTTTGATCCTACCTCAATATAAAACATTTGTAACCTGCAATAAAGGAAATTATGTTTTAAACATTAAAATTCGTAATCATAACATTAACTTAAATAATATAAAAATTTTTTTAATTAATTATTATAAATATATTTACAAAAGATTCGGCAATTTAGTTTGAATTTATATTTTTATGAAATTGATTCAAAAGTTTAAAATTATCATTGCGTTGTTAAATTTTAGTATACCCCAAAAGGTGGTTATATTTTCAAAATCTAGACAACCTGTTATGTATTAGGCCAGTAGCCCTTTGTAAGTGTTCATTATAATGCAGACATGTGAAAGGCATCATTCAAATAGCATTCACATTTTTATACTTAAAGGGACTGTAAGCGTAATTTCAAGAAACACCCCAATTTAAGAGCTGCATGGTACAACTTTATTTTCCCAAGCTGCAAACCTTTATAAAATACACTTTTTTATCTCAAAAAGAGTTTAATTCTGTAAAATTATTTCATCGACTCTTCATGCCACTTTAAAAGAGAGCCCACAATAAAAAACTATACATTTTCAAATAAGAAAACAGGAAATTCTTTACAACTGCTGGTTAAATAAGGTTTAAAGTATTTGTTTAGAATCTGGCATGCATCTTAAACTGGAGAGGGTCACTTGAAGAAACGTACACAGTCTCTTTAAGTTGATTTATATAAAACTAAAAATAAACCCAGTAGACATTTACAAATATACTGATATCTTCAATGTACTAGTTACTAGAATTTACAAATATACCGATATCTTCATTGTACTAGTTACTAGAATTTACAAATATACTGATATCTTCAATGTACTAGTTACTAGAATTTACAAATATACTGATATCTTCTATGTACTAGTTACTAGAATTTACAAATATACTGATATCTTCTATGTACTAGTTACTAGAATTTGTGGTTGTGTTTTCGCTTTTTGGAAATTGTACATGTTTCTATTCGTTTCAAATCAGAATTGAGAGCGATGTACATTGTACATACTTCATACATAAAAATAGATAAAAAAAATAGATGTTGTATCTAAATAACTTTGATATTCATGCTGTTGTTAAATCCTAAATGTAAATTTAAATGTTTAAATCTTTTCTTTACAAAAATTATTTCATTTCTACCTGACCAAGGATTTAATGCAGGGAAAGTTATTTCAGAAGTGTACGTATCTTTTTTACTGCAGTTTACTGTCCCTGGGCGGTAATGTAAACACAAGACGGATGTAGAAGCCTGACAATATGGGATCCATCTTTCACATAAAAAATCAATGAAATATTCTGGTCATAGGAAACTATTATGTGAATTGTCAAAATTATCAAAATTAAATGCTTTTAACCTCCTCGGATACTAAACGAACACTGATGCATCTATTCTTTGTTTACAAATTCCGCCCAGAGAGAACTGGTTTCAATATGTACGCAGAGTATACGCAACTGCAATTAACTTTCCTTGCATTACATTCTTGTACCTGACTATATTTTTCATATTTTCGTTTTCTTTCAAACTTTTTTTATTATTTAATTATTAAAGCTTTAAGTAAAGTTAGGACGGAATCTTGTCAAATAAAATGTCTAACTTGATTGGGACACTACATTGATATTGGATAGTGATAGAGATNGGGGGGGGGGAAGGACTGTCCCTAGGGATGCAGGATATAGTAAAAGAAAATAATGTCAAAAAGAAACTACTATACTTTCTATTTTCAAAGCTGATTTGGCTACAAAGCAATTTTTTTCTTTCTTCAAAATTAAATAAAAAATTTGGATTTTAAACAAAATGTATGTCTTGTTGTTGTTAGTTTGTTAAATTCTAAATAATAAAAAGCTAATCTACGAAATGTTTTGCTTCGAAATAATTTTTTTTATAATAATAATATATGTAATAAAGTTGGCTCCCGATGTCAGACATAAATAATAATATGTAAATGTTATTTGTTAAAAAAATAAAGAATTTCACTTTTTTGTGTTTTTACTTATGATCATAGAAATAATTCATAATATTAAGACTCTATTTTACTGTACTGATACGTTTTATGTTTGTTTGCAGGAAATCCTGAAAATAAGCTGCTGAAATTTTTAAAAATATTTTTTTTTAAATGATTCTTTTTTACTAAATAATTGTTTATCTAACATGGAATTGAGTCTTTGCAATAAACTCTGATTTTATAAACCCTCTTTAGAGTCCATTGTTGTAGACCTTTGACATTTCAAACTATGAGTTCTGTTAGATCAAATAATATAAGTCTGAAATATCAAAGATTTATGACATTGTGTTCCAAAGATATAGGGATTAGAAAATCAGACTTTGTGGCAAGGACTCATATCCTTTTAATTTAATAAATCGATATGAAAGCTTTGTCGTCTTTAGTGAAGATGATAATGCCCTATTCCACCCCCAGCATATCCTGGTTTTCAAGTACCCCAGCAGAGATAGGGTTAAACTGCTAATCTTAGTATGCGGCTACTCTACGAAAGTGACTTGCGCAGTTCTAGCTCCTTAGAAGCAATGAAAATAATATCTGAATTTATTACTAATCGTGTCTATAAATTTTTCAACTTATAAGTTTGAACCTGCAATATTTCAAAGAAATTGATTGATCACCACAAACTTGAACTTTGAATTCCTTCATCTTTGCAATCTGATGGTGTAAACCTTTAATATTTTACTTAGATTATTTGATGGAACAAGATTTAATATTTTGAAATATCTAAGGTCTAGGATTGCAAAGAGCCTGTGGCAATTCCTTTAGACAATTTGATATAAAAGATTTCATACTTTGAAATATCAAAGGTTTTTGACTTCAGTTTTTTTAGAAATATAGATTAGATTAGTTTGTGGCAAGTGATAAATAGCTTTGAAAAAATCAAATCAAATCAAATAATCTAGGTTTGAAAAATCAAAAAGTTTACATCATCGGGTTGCATAGAGATAAGAAAATTTAAGTATGTGGCAGACACTCAATTTCTTGTGTCAAAATTGTGAAATATTTGGACACACTTTTTTCCTTCGGCTCTCCACACTCAATTTGAAACATCATTGTTGTGGTATCTGGGAACCACAAATACGTGCAATAAACTGGTATATAAAATCTACACTTAATAAGATTTATACAAGTACTTAAACCTGTTTATATC